ATAATTACATACTGTTAACAATGTGAATGATTATAAGGTCATAACTCTTTCAAAATGACAGTGCTAGATATTGAAAACAGAGCAAACTCTTCAAGTCTTTTGATTCTACAAGAAATTCATTTTCTCAGTGAGATCAATCTTATATGTCAAGCTGAATATATTATTCCTAAGAAAAATCATTTTCTAGGTTTTCTTGCATTGAATGATAATGTCAAAAACTCAAAACCCATAACACAGTTACTAGACAACTATTGCAAGAATGTGGTGCACTTCCATTAGGGCTCATTCAATTTAGCAATTCAAGCATTTCTTTTCTATATGCCAAAATTACATCATTATGGCTACTCAATATCAATTGCTCAAACTTGATGTTATGCTATGAAGATACAAGCCTTCCATGAGCACACAAAGGTTACCCATATCATCAAATTATCCTCCCAATTTCTCCTTCATGTGGTATATGCAACTCATCTACAATCTCATTCTTCACAGATTGAAACAATATATATAAGACATCATTAAGTTATGTAATATAAAAGTAAATAAAGCACATGAATATGATCAAATATTATTGCCATGATTGAAATTGAAGCTATAAGTTTGTGGAAAGTTGATGATTCTTGCATCTAACATATATCAGGAGAAATCATCAGCACAATTACACGAAGAAGACGACTACATACGCAGACGAGATTCACCTCGTTCTTCAGTAAGAGAATCTCCATTCCTTCATCGGGACTCTAGAATCCGCCATTCCAATTCCGACCCTAACAACGAGAATCAAAAGCCAATCAGTAGTGGTAGTAGAGACGATGGAGAACCCAATGAAGTCTTATGGATCGGATTCCCACAATCTTTAAAACTAGACGAACACATTTTCTGGGATGCATTTTCCCCTTTTGGTGAAATTGAAAAAATCTCTTCATATCCTGGTAGAACTTACGCTTTTGTCAGATACAAACATGTTAATTCCGCTATTAGGGCAAAAGATAGTTTACAAGGGAAATTATTCGGAAACCCTAGGGTTCATATCACTTTTGCAAGAAGTGAATCAAGAGCACCACCTTCAAACACCGGAAAAAACTCGATTCCCGACCCTCCATCCCCCCGTTATGGCCGACAACATGATCGATACCATGATGAACGCAAAAGAAGATCACCATTAACGGGTCGGAATCATGGATTCCGAGATACGGGACATGATGGTTACGGACGCCGGAGTCCTTCAAGGGATAGAAATGTAAATTTCCATGATTTCCACACACCGCGTCGAGCCCCGTTGTATGATGACGAATGGGATTTGCCGGAAGACGCGTTGATTTTTCATGGTGCGAAGAAACTGAAGGGCGGTCTAATTCCGATTCCAATTCCGTCGGAACCGGAGCTTCCGGAGTATCCGTTTTCCGATTCCGAACATGGGAAGAACGTTCTCTCGAGGCCACCGGGGTTCGATAATAATAACTTGGGACATTTTGGTTATCATAAACAGATGATTCATGATCCACCTATGAATGTTGCTCAACCTTATGTTGAGAGGGAAAATACACAAAATATCCAAAATACCCGAAATACCCTCAATGTAGGTTATGATGGTTTCCATGGTGGGCCGGTTTCTCAAAATACCGTTGAATGGAAAAGACCAACTCCGGAACCACACATTCCAGCAAGTGGAGAATGGAAATGGGAAGGAATAATAGCAAAAGGAGGAACATCAATTTGTCGCGCTCGTTGTTTTCCTGTTGGAAAAGTACTTGACATGATTTTGTAAGTTTCAAACAAAACAAATTGTACTGATTTGACTACTGTATTGGACTACGATTAAAACTAATGTCAGTGGGACCAAAAATTGCAACTTTTTGTCCCACCCAAAAAGCTAAAACATAAACATGACATGACATATGACAGACTGTAAGGAAAAGACGAAAATGCCCTTGAGAATATCTTACACACACAAATACAATCAATATAAACGAGTTTGATAAAATTGGAAAAATAAATTATTTACATGGAATGCAGGCCTGAATTCTTGGATTGCACAGCCAGGACTAGTCTAGACATGCTGTCCAAACATTACTATCAAGCAGCAAGTTCATGGGTTGTATTCTTTGTGCCCGAAAGTGATGCTGACATGGCGTTTTACAACGAATTCATGAACTATTTAGGCGAGAAACAGCGTGCAGCAGTCGCCAAGCTGGACGACAAAACAACCTTATTTCTTGTCCCCCCTTCCGATTTCTCAGAAAAAATTCTAAAAGTCCCCGGAAAACTCAGCATCTCCGGCGTCATTCTCAGACTAGAACAACCACCCCCCACCGCCGACACCCTCCCACCACCACCTCCACTGCCACATCAGCGCCAACCCGAAAGACCCGACCCGTATCTTATGTTGTCCCATGGTGAAGCTTCTAGAATGTCATTCACTGCAGCATCACCTTCCGGAAGCTATCAACTCCAAAACCTTGGGAAACCTAGACCTGGTACTGGTACTATATTACCGTTTCATGTTGACAACAATACACAGACACAGGATCATTTGCTTCATAGACAATCAAGAAGTGGTGGTGATTTTATGATTCCAAATAATCAGGAGACAACAAGTTTGAGTAATAATTATAGACCTGGAAGTCCTACTTATCAGGAGCCTAAAACTGTAGTGGCAGCGACAGGTGGCATCGACATTCAGCCAGATCAGCTTGCACAGCTGGCGTCGTTTCTTGGGAACGCAAGGCAATCAATGACAGCAGGAGAAGAGTTTAGGCAGCCAAGTAGTAATGTGAATGTAATGATGGGTTTAGATAATAATAATAATAATAATAATGGTTATAATAATAATAATAGGATGATGCCACGTCAGCTTCCTTCGCCTAGTCCCAGTCAGCATCATCAGCATCAGCATCAACATCAATATCATCCTCCTAATCCTAGTCAGCAGCAGCAGATGATGAGTGGGTATCATCATCATCAACAGCAACAACATCAAGTGCAAGTGGGAAACATGGGTCATGGTCAAAGTCAAAGTCAAAGTCAAAGTAGTGGTAGTCAAGGTCAAGGAAATGGACAGGAGGAAACGGAGGAGGCGGATCCACAGAAACGGTTACAGGCGACTTTAGAGTTGGCTGCTACTCTACTCAAGCAAATCCAACAAGGGAAAACTTGAAAATAAGTCTGAGTTTTATAATAATTGTTTATGTTAAATTGGATTAATGCATGTTTAATGGTAAAAAATGGTAATGCTTATGGATCACTGTTGTTTTTGTATGTGGGTTTAGATGCTAATTTCATGTTTAATAATGAGGATGATTCATGCTTCTTACGAAATAGATGTTAATGTGATGTTTAATTAAGTAACAATGATTTCGTAGTAAATAAGTATCTAAAATTCTAAATCATAAGAAATTAAATCACTATGAAATTGTTGTTTCATACACTACAAAATCCGGAAATTGATACATTTTGACACGCTGATTCTACTGTTTTCATCTATGTAATAAATTATACAATAATTTGTAGCAAAAGAGGGGTATAAATCATAAAAATGAGGCCCTATGAATACAATCATGAAAATACTTTGAAATGTTGATATTATTTTACATCCGTTTATTCTATTGTTTTCAGTTATGTAACACACGTATCATCGTTTTAAAGTTGTCTACAATGATTGTGAATTACTGAGTCAATATGAGAATTTAAATCATAAAAAAGCATTGCGAATTTGTTCTCATCCACTACTATACTCGTCCAAAGTTCCAACGCTAGTTCAGTAAGAAATTTATAAAAAAATATATATAACTTGTAAGAATACGATTTGGTCCCCACTGGAAAATACTAGTATATGGTTTTGGAATTTGAAATGGAGAAATTAAATATCCTCATATTCCTATAAATCTTCCTATCCAATTAAATGATAACGTGTGTCATATTAATATATTAAAATATCATTAAATAAGTATTAAATGTTACACATTTCATTATTTAATTGGGTAGGAAGATTTGTAAGAAACAAAGTAGGAGGATATTTAATTTCTCTTTGAAATCATGAAAATTTTCTAAGGTTTCGAAATAAAATCACCAATCTGAAAGGGTAAATGCTGAAAATTCGTGCTTATGTTCTTTTTTAGAGAAAAAAAATGATCATTTGTTAAAAGGTTACATCCAAGGCCAACGTGGGTTTAATATGTGCTTAGTTAATTAGTTTGATAATTTCGATTAAGTGTTTTTTTTTTGTCATTTTTGTGATTTTTTTTGTGTTATATCACAACAAAAGATAAAAATTTGTTATGGTTAAAAACATAAATCCCAGGCTAATCACATCAATAAATTATAAACTATTATGGTTAAAAATATAAATCCTAGGCTAATTAGACTAACTCTAATAATCTAATTGTGAATTAATTGGACATGTAATAATTCTTAAGAGATAAAATAAGTTTTTTTTTCTCTCATTTTTATATTGAATTTCACCCAAAATTGAAAACCACTCATTGAATTTGAATAAATTATTACTTTTATAACTATAAAATATATTTCTAAGTGTAATGAGTAGAAATGTTATTGATTATAAATCCGCATAGCTTAGCCAATTGAAAGGATCTTCTGATCAATCCAGAGATCATTTTGATTCCATTAGTAATGAGGATTCGGAATATCACACGTTGATCAATCAAAGAGAGATTCAACAACTAAAAGAAAGATCGATTATTTGGGATCCTTCCTTTCTTCAAACGGAAGGAACATAGATAGAATCAAATCGATTCCCGAAATGCCTTTTTGGATATTCCTCAATGTCCCGACTATTCACGGAACGTGAGAAGCAGATGATAATCCTACAAGATCCGTTCGTTCTTTTTTCTCTGACAGATGGTCAGAATTTCATAAGGGTTCGAATCCTACTCTTACACACATTATTAACCACATTGATTGTAGAGCAAATACTAATATTATGAATTTGATTATTTTGTATAAAAGACTTGAAGTACCAGAGCTTTAGGTAAAAACAATAATTAAGAAAAATTATTGCTGCTAGGACCTGCTCCTTCATTATCATCATCCGCACATAGTTGGCGAAGGCCGCCAATATCCAGGGAGCCCAACTTCATCATGGAAGCATAATCACAAGAGAGGAACGAATCAATCGCATCAACCATCTCCCCCGAATGGCTCGAGGTGGAACCAACATCATTGGGATCAAACGCTCCAACGAACATTGCCTTACGCAACACCTCTCTACCAGACTCCTCACCAGCAAAACACATTCTTGATACGACCCACACCCTGCAAAAAATCTGGAAGTTCGATAACTTTGTCAACAATTCTAACAATTCCATCCCTGATAAGCCATCCCAGGCCATTCCTAAGTTGGGACAACTTCGCCTCATGATCAAGCCACAATTTTTCTTTATCCAACAACTCTTTCTCCAAACTCTCCACCCGAGTAATCAAGGCCTCATTCTATTGGAGGGTGTCATCAAGCTTCGACTCCACATGAGCACAACGCTCCTCAAGGGTCATTTTCTTGCCAGCCAGCAACTCCAGTTGCTGGCAAGAAGACTCCACCGAAGATTCCAAAGAAGCAATGTGTTGTTGAAGACCCCTCTTATTTGCCCGAAGCTTGACAGCCACACTTTTAAGACCCGAATGCGGCGAGCCCCGACAGTAAGGAAAAAGGCACTTTGAGCAGAAGAAAATTCCATGAAATCAATTGTTTAATCATCAGTAAAGGCTTCCATCTCAGAAACAGTTCCCTTAGGAAAAACATGGCGTAAGAACTCAACAACAACCTCTTGTTGGGAGAGACGGGATTCATCAGTGAGGTTCCATTTAGGGATGAAAACATTGTTGAAAGAAAGATTATTGCCTTGGAAACTAGCAATAAGATCATCATAGTCATATGTCTCCAAAGCAGTAGGAGATTTGCTTCGGTGGACCGACGGTGGCCCTGTCAGGCCATCTCCGATGGAATCCTTGTTCATAATGGGTTGTTTAGAATCCCCTTGTAGCCCTTCGGACCGGTGCGTGTTGTCATCAAGGATACTTATTACCTCTTCACTAGAGGGCATCAAAGTAGCGACGAAGTTGGTGGCAAGCTTGCATCGGCGACATCAGTTAGCAATGGTTTTCCCTTTTGTTGTGTCAGAAAGAGTTGCGATACTCAAAAGCCCTCTCTCCCTCGTCACATGGGACGTTGCGCCCGCCAGAATCCCCTCTTTGTTATCTTGTGTAACAACCCGAATTTGTTCCTATCAGCGATGTTTGCTTCCGTTAGACGAATATTTACTTCATAGGATTATTTCAGTTTAATGTTATATAAGGAAATAAATTTTAAAAAAAAGATGATGATAACTAATAGTTAAAAGAACTAATCAAAATTAAAAAGGTGTGTAATTTAATTAAATTGATTTACAAAATTATTAGGATAAATATAATTCATTTGAATGGTTTAAATGGAATTGAGGGGATAAAATTGTCATTAAAGAAACTTAAATTGTCAAGGTGTCTAGGGTTAGGTTGGAAGGGGTAAAAAGTCAAATCTTGAGGGATCAATTGTTGAAATTCGGCTATAACATCCAAGGAGTTAAATCATTCCTTATCCACTTCCGTTTTTCTTCACGTATTCTTTAGTAGGTTGTCAAAAATCGATTCCCTTTGGCTCCTATTGTTTGTGTCGATTAGCAAGAAGAAAAAAAGCGCACGATTTGGAGGGTGGAGGAGGCTACGAACTGAGAAGAGAAAGGGAGAAGGAAGGGGCAACCATTGACGATCGTTCAAGGGGTTTTGAAGCTATGAAATCGATTTAATAAGGATTGGGGAAAGGATGATACTTCAACTCTTACAAGACTTGAAGTGTGAGGATGACACATCTTTGACAAATGTGAGTTAATCTGGTGGATTTTTAAAGTACTTTGTTAGGGAATTCCATATATTAGATGGATTGGAATGAGCCTAGGCTATTTAGGTTGCATGTGCCCCTATTGCGTATGATATGATATTGGTTGTTATGCTTCATTATGTGTATGATAATTTAGGATGGTATATGTTAGATTCTTATTCTTTTTATGTGAAAGGTGTGTTAGGGTCATTGATAGAAAGTGTGCCTTGTGTTGATTTTAAGTGATGTATTCATGCCATGTTTACTTGGAAACCCTTGTCTATGATGATTAGGACAAATCATGCTAGTGATGTTGTCAAGCCATAATGATGATATGTGCATTAACTTGTATGCGATGTAAAATGTTTTAACTTGTATTTACGTGTTTGCATGTTTACATGAGAAGTAATATGTTAGAAAAAGATGTTAATAAATATGCATGATTACTTAGGGAGGTCAAAGGTATAATTCCTTAAACAATGAATTAATAATAAATTAATTAAAGGGGGGGAATACACTAACGGGGCGAAGGGTAGTGTTGGATCCACGATGAAAGTCAATTAGGGTTGGCTCCTCGGGGAAGCCAACTAGGGTTGTCTCTTTGAGGAAAGCCAATAGGTGTTGGCTCCACGAGGATAGCCAATAGGTGTTGGCTCCATGAGGATAGCCAAGTAGTGTCGGCTTAACGAGGATAGTCGGTTAGGGATGACTTTATGAGGAAAGTCAGTTAAGGTTGGCTCTATGATGAAAGCCAGTCGGATGGTTATTCTAGATGACCAGTTCGACACATGGTTTACCTAAAGATAGGTGAACTGATGTGATGTTAGCTCTACAAGGAAAGCCGACGCAAACATCACATGCGATTCGGGAGGTGTAACACGGTGGAATTGGCACCGCTTGAACCAAACCCTAACGACAACACATGTACTAGTATATGCAACATCGGAGTAGCGAACGTAACGAACTAGGAGCAATGTTATGGATGAGAGTCGCACCTCATTTAGTGTATTTGGTCGCTCTGGTCATGTTAGCAGTGAATGAGATACTTACCTTGGAGTTACGAATCATCATTATCATATCATATCATATCATATCATATCATATCATATCATATCATATCATATCATATCATATCATATCATATCATATCATACTATACTATAAAGGAAACATTTTTCCTTTAACCACATCAATTTGAAACTCCCAACTATTTTTCCTTTCACCACATTTATTTGAAACTCCCATGACTTTTCAATTTCTTTCTAATAATGATTATAAGTTGGTTAATAAGGTTAAATAAATATCAAACCTAAAGTGTAATCATAAATAAACTAAATTTCAATATTAAAATAATATTTTTACTTCTATTTATAAAGTTATGTCTTTAACTTTTAACATAGTATACTTAATATATTAGATTTAATATGTTTTTGTATTTAACCATTATCAGTTAAAGCTACAACTTTTGAACAGTTTGGATAAAATACTTAAATTGTTAATTTAAATATAACATTACAGTATCAACTTAAATATAAATTTCAGTTCCACTTAAAAAATCCAAAGAATATTTTATGAATAGTTAAAACTGATAAATTGTAGTGCTAAATGCAAAAACTAAATATCTCAATTTAATTATAATATTTCCTAAAGATATTTTTATAATCATTAAAAGTTTTCTAATAAGTAGCTTAATATAACTTACCATAAAAATAGTTAAAAAAAACTCTATATAAATGATTATATTGTTACCTTTAAAAACAAAAAACAATGTTTGATGTTTTAAATAATTACAATAATAGAAATTAAAACATTAAGCAAATAAAAACTCTATAACAACCACGTTTTTATTATATTTAAGAAAACATATATTTGTGAAGATTTCAACTATATATGTTTCTGCGCAACGCGCAGACATTCGCCTAGTCTATATCTATCTATATCTATATCTATATCTATATATATATATATATATATATATATATATATATATATATATATATATATCTATATCTATATCTATATCTATATATCTTATAAAGCTATCATTTTTCCTTGAACCTCATGCATTTGAAACTCCCAAGACACCATATTCATTTGAAACTCTCATGACTTTTCAATTTCTTTCTAATAATGGTTATAAGTTGGTTAATAATGTTAAATAAATATCAAACCTAAAGTGTAATCATATATAAACTAAATTTAAATATTAAAATAATATCTTTATTTTTATTTATAAAGTTATGTCTTTAACTTTTAACATATTATAATTAATTTATTAATTTTAAAATGTTGTTGTATGTAAACCATTATCATTTTAAAGCTACAACTTTTGAACAATTTGGATAAAATACTTAAATTGTTAATTTAAATATAACATTACATGATCAACTTAAATATAAATTTTAGTTCAACATAAACAATGCAAAGAATATTTTGTAAATAGTTAAAAGTGACAAATTATAGTGTCTTTCTAATAATGATTATAAGTTGGTTAATAAGGTTAAATAAATATCAAACCTAAAGTGTAATCATAAATAAAATAAATTTTAATATTAACATAATATCTTTACTTCTATTTATAAAGTTATGTCTTTAATTTTTAAAATATTATACTTAATTTATTAAATTTAATATGTTATTATATGTAAACCATTATCAGTTTAAAGCTATAACTTTTGAATAGTTTGGATAAAATACTTAAATTGTTAATTTAAATATAACATTACATGGTCACGTTAAATATAAAATTTCAGTTTCACTTAAAAAACCCAAATAATATTTTGTGAATAGTTAAAAGTGATAAATTGTAGTGGTAAATGTAAAAACTAAATTGTAATCTCAATTTAACTAAAACATTTCCTAAAGATATTTTTATAATCATTTAAATTTTCAAATAAGTAGCTTAAAATAACTTACAATAATAATAGTTAAAACTAACTTTATATAAACGATTATATTGTTACCTTTAAAAACAAAAAAACAATTTTTGATATTTTAAATAATTACAGTGATAGAAATAAAAACGTTAAACAAATAAATTTAAAAAAATTAATTAACAATAACAAACTACATTTAACCATATATTATTTTTTATTTTTATTAATGAGTAACCCGTGGGTAGAGGTCATTCAAACGATTAAGCTTATGTAGTTTTAATAGATGTATATATTATAATATAATTCAAAATAATCAATATATTATATCAATTTCGTATATGAATTATTATATCAAATTTATCAACAACGTTATTGTTATATTTAAGAAAACATATATTTGTAAAGATTTCAACTATATAGATGTTTCTGCGCAACGCGCGGGCATTCGCCTAGTTATATTATAAATGAAACATATTTTCCTTTCACCACATTCATTTGAAACTCCCATGACTTTTCAATTTCTTTCTAATAATTATTATAAGTTGATTAATAAGGTTAAATAAATATCAAACCTAAAGTGTAATCATATATAAACTAAATTTCAATATTAAAATAATATATTTACTTCTACTTATAAAGTTATGTTTTTTAACTTTTAACATATTATACTTAATTTATTAGTTTTAATATATTGTTGGATGTAAACCATTATCATTTTAAAGATACAATTTTGGAACAATTTGTATAAAATACTTAAATTATTAATTTGAATATAACATTACAGGGTCAACTTAAATATAAATTTTAGTTTAACTTAAACAACCTAAACAATATTTTGTAAATAGTTAAAAGTGATTAATCGTAGTGTCTTTCTAACAATGATTATAAGTTGGTTAATAAGGTTAAATAAATATCAAACCTAAAGTGTAATCATAAATATACTAAATTTCATTTTTAAAATAATATCTTTACTTCCACTTATAAAGTTATGTCTTTAACTTTTAACATATTAGATTTAATATGTTGTTGTATGTAAATCATTATCAGTTTAAAGCTACAACTTTTGAACAGTTTGGACAAAATACTTAAATTGTTAATGTAAATATAACATTACAATGTCAACTTAAATATAAATTTCAGCTCCACTTAAAAAATCAAAGAATATTTTGTAAATAGTTAAAAGTGATAAATTGTAGTGATAAATGCAAAAACTAAATTGTAATCTCAATTTAACTAAAATGTCTCCTAAAGATATTTTTATAATCTTTAAAAGTTTTCAAATAAGTAGTTTAAAATAATTTACAATAAAATAGTT